CCTACCCGCGAGCCGCCATCCGCCAGCGAGTCAACAGCGCCGAGTCATCAACCTTATTTCCCCCCCCAAAAGCTAGTCAAGCCGGAAAGAAAAGACACTGGAGAAATAATAATAATGATAATAATAATAATTATCATACCAGTAATAACAATAACAATAACAATTATAATAATAGTCAGCCGCAAGCCCGCATGCACCTTGTAGCGGTGGCTAGTGCGCTCGTGGGCACCCGCTTCTTACATACATGAGGCCCTTTTTTTTTGTGTGTAGCTTAGCTGTTGATGTGGTTGTTGTTGTTATTGTGCGATACCCTCGATGCGCTTACTAAAAGGTCAGAGATTGGTGACTCGGCTAACTTAAACTATCCATCTACCTACCCAAACTAACGGGTCCAACGGCCCTAAGTATAGTAGGTAATACTGTGCGGGCCGTTGGGTTCTGAGGGGGGCTACGCAAATAGAAGACAATGACCAGAAAGAAAAAAGGCGCAAAGTGTAGTGCAGACTTTTTTTTTCCTCCTTGCTTCTGTGTCTCCATCTCACTTTCTCTTGCCTATTGTTTGCTTAACTATTAAATCTTACATTTTTCTTACATGACAATGCGTTGAACCGTCTCGTACTGTTTGGATGTTCATGATTGTCGTTGGGTTGGTGTGTGTGTGTGTGTGGATCCAGTACATTAGCGCTTATGTGCTTATTTCTATTTCCTTTTTTTTTCTTGATTAAATTTGCGGAGACGAAACAAAAAAAACCCCCGTCCATGTAAGTAAGTAATGTAAGCAAGCGAGGCGAGACCACACACCGGCGGCGGGGGGATTGGGGGTTGAGTGAGCCTATCGGAGATCCGGGGGTGGCGGCGCGAGCTACGTAACGTAACGTGACGGAACCTTGGGGTTCAGCGTGCGCGCGCGACTGGGCAACCCCCCCCCCCCAAGTAATTTACCGTCAGCCCGGTGGTTGAGAACAACTGAAAGACAACGTCCACTGTGCCAAGTATCTGGGGAGAAATTAGAAAGAAGAAAAAAAAGAAAAGAAAAAAAAAACTACCTATGAATGAATTGTTGGAGTAAGGATGGAGGTGCGATACTCTATTTGCATTTGGAGATATTATTATGACTATTGCTATTGTTCAATGTACGTAGCTCGCTTGGACGATGCGCTGATAGACCAGGAGCATACAAAAAATATTATGTAATTGCTCGCAGACATCATGCTATGTACTTGGCACGTAGGTCATGATTGGGCCTTTGCGTAAGCCTTTGCCCCCCTCTTTCTTACGTACACCAAGTTATGCAGCTGGATAACAGCCATGCACGCGCGCGCCCAAGTCATTGGCTGTGGGGCTCTTTTTTTTGGGGTCACTACATACAGTATCTGCGGCGCATGTTGCTTGCATCCATGCATGCATGTTGACAGTCTGTGATATCTCCACATTTCAGCTGGGCGAGAGAAGCCTCTTGCACTTGGCAGACAAGGGGAAGTCGAGCATGAGCAAAGATACGAGCAAGAATGACGGTGAGTAACGGATGGCGGTAGCTCCGAGCAAGCGTTACAGTAGTCGCTTAGCCATCCCGAACAAGAAGGTACACATGGCAAGCGAAATATCAGGGCCGGACATCATATACAAAATGCCCGTAATAATATATCCGAGAATAGACCATGGCATGTTTGGACACGACAGATCAGTGCGGAGAGGGACAAGGAGCTGAGTGGAAACGTGGTTTGAAGATTTTCGTTGTGCTCTTGGCTTCATCTAACGTCATCCATACCATGGATTTACATACAGGAAAACGACAAGCCAAAAAATCAATCAATGCATGTACGCCAATGTGAACGCCGTTTTTGCCCCCTGGCCACATACGCTGCAAGAAAAAAAAAGATGATTGATGCTCATGCTGCGGATAAAAACCTCTCCGGAAAAAAAGTGAAACCGAAACGCTCCCTGTGTCATGTGGGGAAAATCGCATACCATGTCATGCCAGGTTGACCAAATGCCACCAAAAGTAGAAAACGCGTTGATTCAACAGAGATTAGCGAAAGTAAGAATAGAAAGCCGTGGTGACCCATGATGCCCGTAGTGCTCGTTCCCAAATCGACAAAGAGAATCGTCAAAGTACAGAGACGTGGATTGGGTGCAGTCGTTTAGTTCCTGTCGTCGTTGAGCAGGCTGGCAATGGGCATGTTGTCCCTGGGAGCCGAGCTCCAAGTGCCAGCCCTTGGTCGGCCAGAAGAGGGGACAGGCATGGGTAGGACATAAGGCATACGCTCTGGAGCAGAAACAGCACTAGCGTTGTTTTGGTTCATGGGGCTGCAGTGCTTAGCTTGCTCGCTGGGGGCTGGAGAGGCGTAGGATGCAAAAGGAGTAGGCTTGAACACGGGGTTGTGCATGACACTGCCGTCGGGTGAGGCATCAGGGGTAGGGGGGCGAACGGCGTTGGAGCCACTGCGCCAGATTTCCTCGAGCTGAGCAGGCGAGACGTCGGTGCCATAGTCGGCGGCGACAGTAGCCCAGAACTGCTGGCGGCGAGACTCGTAGATGGAGCGGAGTCGGTCAGTGTCGACCACCTTGGGCTGGTGAGCGACCTCGGTGTTAATGCGGAGGCCGTTGTAGGGCTCAGGAGAGCCGCAAGGGGTAAGCGTGCGAGGCTTGGGCAGGAGAATCTTGTGCTGCGAGCGGCCAGGAGAGTTGGAGACGGATCCGGCACGGACATGGGGGCTGCCAGTGTAGCTCATGGGCGAGCTGTGGCGAGAGGACTGCGAGTAAGCATCCTGCTCCGCAACCATGCCATATGCAGCAGAGGTGCCAGTGGAGCTGCATGAAGCGTTGGAGGAGACCGAGTTGTTTCGCTTGCGGCGGTGGCTGCCGTGCGAGAGCTGGTGGTAGTGCAGACGGCAGGCAAGCTCAGTCTTCTTGAGGTGTGCGGCAATGTGCTTGTAAGGCATCTTTTGCATGCGCGTCTGGAGAAGGTAGTTTTCCTGCATGGCTGTTAGGGGGGGGTGTCTATCAAGTGGCTCAGAGAGCGAGTAAATGCATACCTCTTCTTCAGACCAAGACCTGTTTCCGCCGGCCGACATCTTGCGAGCACGAAGGTTGGAGGCGTCCGAGGGAGACTGCGAGTTCATCTCGGGCAGAGGAGAGAGAATCTGGGGCTGGTGGTGAAGCATTGTGATGGGTAGTGTGCTCTGAACGGTCAATGTGTTGTTGATGAGTTGACTGGGTCGTGTTGGAGTGAAGAATCGTGTGGTTTGCAAGATGTCTTTTCGAGTCTGGCTCAGCAGAGAAATGAAGGTATTATGCGGTAAAGACAAGTGATTGCGCAGCAATGTGGATTAAGTGAATGTAGGGCAGCCCAAACCAGTGGGAAACTAAAAGAGAGTATTACAAGGCTGCTAAAAGACTGATGCCGATTGAACAGATGCGGTTGAGGCCTCGAAACTTGGGGCACTGGAGCAATTATAGAGTTTGGACACAGGACACGAAACGGGACCGTCGAGGAACCACAGACCAGGCTGATTACCAGTGGCATTCTCTGACATTGGCAACGTTTTCAAACCGTTGCCTCTGCAACTCGATTCTTGATCGGCAGTATGGGTCACGACCGGCGTTCGCAGCCAGAATGTTTGGAAGAACCCGGACACGAGACGTGTTAAGCCGGAAGGAGAACGGGCGTGTAGGTGCATACAATATTGATGCCTGGGGCCCTAGAGAACAAGAGTGGAACGCATAAGGCGAGCAGCCTCAGTGTTGTCCACGGGGTAGGTTTCAAAACCAGGCGTGTCGGACTTGATGCAGTTTTGACGAAGCCAACGGTTTGACATTGTTTGGCAAGCAGGAAACAAGCAGCGCCCAGTGCAGCCATGACGGCGGGCGCTAGCCTAGACGGACCTGTGACAGCGTGTGTGGGGACGACTGTGCCTCGGACGTTGCCTTTGTTGTCGGCAGCAGCACTGTGCTTTGGCAACAGCGAGGGTTTGGGCACGCTGGAGCTGGTTGCGTGGTCGACCAGCTTGGCGGCGTGCCACTTGTTCCGACACGAGTTCGTGGGAACATGCGAGGTGGAGATAACGCGCAACATGCAAAGGTATGGATGACGACGCGGTGAGACAGGCGAAACGAGAGTGTTCGGATCGACTGTGTTCCGCCTTGCGCATCAACACATCAGGCATCCATTCAGGCGCAGGCGCTTGGCGGGTCCTGCGGGCTGCTACTGGCTGTCAGTGGCGGGGCTGTGGCAGAGCGCCTCTCTCAAACACCTGTGGCTTGGGGCTGATACTGGCGCTGCGTCAGGGCGTCTCCAGAACACACAGGGCCGCGACGGCGACGAGAATGAACAGACGCTCCAGAGCAGCAGTTGAGCAG